CAAATCTTTAGCTCGTTTAGTTAATGCATAAAATCTGGACCTAACTAAGCTTAATTACAAATTTAAATAACATAATTCCAATGCTCTGAAAATAGACAAATTTAATCGAATGTCCATTTGTCTGTTCTCTATATACTTCTAAATCCTCTGATCGATCTGCATCAAATTTTTCATACTTACTCTCTAGGACCCTGCTGAGAATATAAGCCATCGTGAAACTAGACACATCACTCTCCCCCCTGATTTCTTCCCCTCGAAACTTCGTGATAAATATAATAAAGATAAACTAACATTTAATACGGGTTCACACTTTTTATAATTTAATAATAAAAATATGGACTGTAATCAGGAAGATGTAAATTATATTTGACTGTTTAAAAAGTTAGAAAAATATAAATTTTCCAGAACAAACTTTGATCATTTCAATGACGACTTTTTAAAGACTTAAGGCCATTTTTCCTCCCTTTAGATCTTCAAAAATTAGATTGAAAATGAACAAAAATGATACGCCTAAGGAAAATAATAATAATAATATTTTACCCGTATAGAATTTATTAATATTATCTCTTTATTAAAAGTTTTCTTTTTATCTTATTTACAAAGAGAAATAAAACAACTCGTTAGATAAAATTTCGTGAAAATATCTCCAGAGAAGTAAGATACGTTGAAAATAAATAATATAAATACATTCTTTTCTTTACAAAGTATTATTAAATTATAATAATAAAAATTCAAAATTTTATTTACGAATTTGTAAAATTATTCGTTGAAATATTTGAATTTTATTTCATTTTTCTCGTAAGTTTGAATTGTAATTCAAATTGCACATTTTAATTGTCATCCGTCTGCGTATCTTTCGTTAACTCGCTAACGGAGTTAAATAGATGAAAATCGAGACCAGACTTGGAAAGTGTAGGGGCCGGAGTTTCCGACTAAATATATACGAACTTCCGGTCCGGAAGTCACATGATTTCACCTGAAAATTTTCTCGAAAAGTATGTTAGATAGGTTACCTGCATGACTCGGTTGTTATCAGGAAAAGTATGATGTACAGGGGTAATAAAATGACTAATTTGAGATCGCGAGCATATATTTTAAATTAGATAAATTAAAAATATGATTTAAAATTTCAGCCCGACATTATGACGACGTCACGACAATATACATTCGATTTTTTCTTTTATTTTATTACATTTTTTTTCTTAATGCTTTCTTTTACTAAGTTGAAATACTGTTAGTGTAATTTCCTGTTATAATATTTCACCGGCACATTTCCTTAATAGAAGAGCATCTCTAATGCATTTCCCTTACTAGTACATCTATTAAGAGGTGTACTATCAACAGAGTTTGTAGTGTGCTTACTTATTAGAATATGTTATGAATGCTCCTCTTCTACTTCCCTACTGCACTTATGGAAAATCATTCTCTCTCTTTTTTTTTCTTTCTTTCCCTAGTAAATTTACGAATTTAATTTCCTCTTTTTCTCCCAAGGAAAAGAATATTTTCCCCATTTCTTTTCTGTAATGTATGCGAATGTATCACATGTTTCAAAAATATGATTAATTTAATGTACAAAAATTACTAATGCTATAATTTTCTTTTATGAAATATTATGCTTATAACTTTAAAAAAAATACATTTAAAAGAATAAGAGGAGGAGGAAGAGGAAGAGGAGAATTAAAAAAAAACAAGGAGTAAGACGTAACAAANAACATAATTCCAATGCTCTGAAAATAGACAAATTTAATCGAATGTCCATTTGTCTGTTCTCTATATACTTCTAAATCCTCTGATCGATCTGCATCAAATTTTTCATACTTACTCTCTAGGACCCTGCTGAGAATATAAGCCATCGTGAAACTAGACACATCACTCTCCCCCCTGATTTCTTCCCTTCGAAACTTCGTGATAAATATAATAAAGATAAACTAACATTTAATACGGGTTCACACTTTTTATAATTTAATAATAAAAATATGGACTGTAATCAGGAAGATGTAAATTATATTTGACTGTTTAAAAAGTTAGAAAAATATAAATTTTCCAGAACAAACTTTGATCATTTCAATGACGACTTTTTAAAGACTTAAGGCCATTTTTCCTCCCTTTAGATCTTCAAAAATTAGATTGAAAATGAACAAAAATGATACGCCTAAGGAAAATAATAATAATAATATTTTACCCGTATAGAATTTATTAATATTATCTCTTTATTAAAAGTTTTCTTTTTATCTTATTTACAAAGATAAATAAAACAACTCGTTAGATAAAATTTCGTGAAAATATCTCCAGAGAAGTAAGATACGTTGAAAATAAATAATATAAATACATTCTTTTCTTTACAAAGTATTATTAAATTATAATAATAAAAATTCAAAATTTTATTTACGAATTTGTAAAATTATTCGTTGAAATATTTGAATTTTATTTCATTTTTCTCGTAAGTTTGAATTGTAATTCAAATTGCACATTTTAATTGTCATCCGTCTGCGTATCTTTCGTTAACTCGCGGAGTTAAATAGATGAAAATCGAGACCAGACTTGGAAAGTGTAGGGGCCGGAGTTTCCGACTAAATATATACGAACTTCCGGTCCGGAAGTCACATGATTTCACCTGAAAATTTTCTCGAAAAGTATGTTAGATAGGTTACCTGCATGACTCGGTTGTTATCAGGAAAAGTATGATGTACAGGGGTAATAAAATGACTAATTTGAGATCGCGAGCATATATTTTAAATTAGATAAATTAAAAATATGATTTAAAATTTCAGCCCGACATTATGACGACGTCACGACAATATACATTCGATTTTTTCTTTTATTTTATTACATTTTTTTTCTTAATGCTTTCTTTTACTAAGTTGAAATACTGTTAGTGTAATTTCCTGTTATAATATTTCACCGGCACATTTCCTTAATAGAAGAGCATCTCTAATGCATTTCCCTTACTAGTACATCTATTAAGAGGTGTACTATCAACAGAGTTTGTAGTGTGCTTACTTATTAGAATATGTTATGAATGCTCCTCTTCTACTTCCCTACTGCACTTATGGAAAATCATTCTCTCTCTTTTTTTTTCTTTCTTTCCCTAGTAAATTTACGAATTTAATTTCCTCTTTTTCTCCCAAGGAAAAGAATATTTTCCCCATTTCTTTTCTGTAATGTATGCGAATGTATCACATGTTTCAAAAATATGATTAATTTAATGTACAAAAATTACTAATGCTATAATTTTCTTTTATGAAATATTATGCTTATAACTTTAAAAAAAATACATTTAAAAGAATAAGAGGAGGAGGAGGAGGAAGAGGAAGAGGAGAATTAAAAAAAAACAAGGAGTAAGACGTAACAAATGAATTAAAGATGCTTCTTCTATTACAAAATTTAGTTAGTAGAATTTCCTTTTTCATTTGAAAATTTAATTAAAAAATACTCGAATGTTTTCTGAAAAGTGAACTTTTTTTTATTGAGGAAAAAAAAAGATTTTTTTTAAAAATAAAAATAAAAATGCACTCATNTTCTTGGCATTTTTTTATTTTTTCGGTTAGTCTAAGTGAAAAATTACATAAAAATCAAAACCGATTATATACATTACAAATGAAATTATAACGTTATAAATGTAAGTGTATGGCTGAAATGTTCTTTAGTAATTTACTATAGAATAAAAGAAATAAACACTACGATATATTTTATTCTTTTATATACACTAATCAATTGTATAAACTATAAAAGAGTATGAAATATTTGTATAATTTTTATTTAATGTATTGATTATTAATAAAATTTTTATCAGTTTTAAGGTAAGCGGGAGTCATTCCGATTGTGTTTACAATGGTTTATACTGTCAGATTCTTATCAGTAAAGCGAATTTATCAACTGAATTTTATTTTTAGCATTTTATGCGGGTGTTAAATTTATCTTAATTGAAGAATTTCATTCGTAAATTTCTTTATTTTAATTCGAATTTTTCTCTTTGTTTGTTTTGTCAAAACCGCAATGTAACCTCAACTAATAATTTAATTATCTAAATAGCGATATTTATCTTTCTTTATTAGATTGCAATTTTTAAAATTTCAGACATACGTTCCGGTTGTCTATCCTTCGTTAATCTCAAGAATATAGTGTTAGATAGATAGACGAATTCAAAAATTTTCTCCAGGCTGGCATGACTCGATTGTTATCAGGAGAAGTATGATGTACAGGGGCAAGACACTGCTAAAATCCAGACCAGATAAGCTCCTGGTCAACTGTAAGCGAACTTTCGGTCTGGACCGGAAGTTACGTATTTTTATTTATTTATAATTTAATAAAATTAAACTATTTAAGTCTAAAAAATTATTATTATTATTATTATTATTATTATTATTATTTCTAATGCTCTTGTAAACAGAAAAATCTTTGCTGATGTTATCTAACATGAGCCTGTGTAATCAATATGAAAAATGAGAAATAAGATTAAGGTAGTCGATAGAAATATTGTAATGTATTATCTTCCTTTCTTGGCATTTTTTTATTTTTTCGGTTAGTCTAAGTGAAAAATTACATAAAAATCAAAACCGATTATATACATTACAAATGAAATTATAACGTTATAAATGTAAGTGTATGGCTGAAATGTTCTTTAGTAATTTACTATAGAATAAAAGAAATAAACACTACGATATATTTTATTCTTTTATATACACTAATCAATTGTATAAACTATAAAAGAGTATGAAATATTTGTATAATTTTTATTTAATGTATTGATTATTAATAAAATTTTTATCAGTTTTAAGGTAAGCGGGAGTCATTCCGATTGTGTTTACAATGGTTTATACTGTCAGATTCTTATCAGTAAAGCGAATTTATCAACTGAATTTTATTTTTAGCATTTTATGCGGGTGTTAAATTTATCTTAATTGAAGAATTTCATTCGTAAATTTCTTTATTTTAATTCGAATTTTTCTCTTTGTTTGTTTTGTCAAAACCGCAATGTAACCTCAACTAATAATTTAATTATCTAAATAGCGATATTTATCTTTCTTTATTAGATTGCAATTTTTAAAATTTCAGACATACGTTCCGGTTGTCTATCCTTCGTTAATCTCAAGAATATAGTGTTAGATAGATAGACGAATTCAAAAATTTTCTCCAGGCTGGCATGACTCGATTGTTATCAGGAGAAGTATGATGTACAGGGGCAAGACACTGCTAAAATCCAGACCAGATAAGCTCCTGGTCAACTGTAAGCGAACTTTCGGTCTGGACCGGAAGTTACGTATTTTTATTTATTTATAATTTAATAAAATTAAACTATTTAAGTCTAAAAAATTATTATTATTATTATTATTATAAGATAGGAAGGAGAGAAAAATTAAAAAAAAAAAAGAAAGTAAAATTTGAAAAATGTTATCTGCGAAGAGAATGAGATTTTGATTTTTCCCAACTTTAGTGAAAATGGAATCTCTGATACATCTATCATCATTTCTTCTTTTTTTATTATTATTCTTTCTTTATTTTTTTAAAAATAAATTTCATTAAATTCAACTTTGTTCACTTTTGACGAAAAGTTCGTGAAATTTATCAAAAAAATAATAATAAAAAATAAAATAAAATGTAGGCCCTATATATATATATTAAATTTTGAATTAAGTAAGTTTAAAAAAATCCTTTCTTCCATCCTTTTTTTTTTCCTCTCTCTCTCTCTCTCTCTTCTCGAAGTCACTATATAACATTAACAAAGAGAACGTCATCTCTGTCGATCTACCATTAAAATTATTATTAACTTAAATTAATTTTATCAAAAAAACATCGATATAGCATTGTTGTTGTTGTTTGATTTTTTCGCTCCCGAAACTGGCGCTAAATTAAAGTATCTGGAATAATATAATTTATGTATAATAATGAGCTATGTACTGTACACGTAATTTGATGAAACAATGTCATATATATATTGATACTAAATAATAATAATAATAATAAAAAGTACTTCTGGTAGCTCGTTGGCTAGTATTCATTAACGTTTTATAGGAGGGTAGCGCTATATAGAGTCACTTCTGAAATTGGTATTAAATCAAGTGTTTAATTAAACAATAAGAAAAAATGTTGTATAATAAATGAGGTAATGTATAAACACGAGTTACTTGGTTTATACAGTATCTCATTGAGAGTGGCGTTATTTAAGACAGCGCTAAATAGAGGTATAGGAACGCGTTATACGTGATATGTGAGAGTGACGTTATTTAATACAGCGCTAAATCGAGGTATATGAACGAGTTATACGTGATATGTGAGAGTGGCGTTATTTAAGACAGCGCTAAATCGAAGTATATGAACGAGTTATACGTGATATGTGAGAGTGGCGTTATTTAAGACAGCGCTAAATCGAGGTATATGAACGAGTTATACGTGATATGTGAGAGTGGCGTTATTTAAGACAGCGCTAAATCGAGGTATATGAACGAGTTATACGTGATATGTGAGAGTGGCGTTATTTAAGACAGCGCTAAATCGAGGTATATGAACGAGTTATACGTGATATGTGAGAGTGGCGTTATTTAAGACAGCGCTAAATCGAGGTATATGAACGAGTTATACGTGATATGTGAGAGTGGCGTTATTTAAGACAGCGCTAAATCGAGGTATATGAACGAGTTATACGTGATATGTGAGAGTGGCGTTATTTAAGACAGCGCTAAATCGAGGTATATGAACGAGTTATACGTGATATGCCGGACAAAAAAAAATTTTTTTGCTAATATTCATTAGCACTATTTAAGAAAACGTTATATCGAGACTTATATGCTCTAATGTTAACATTACTGTAGAATAAAAATCCAGTTGTTCGTCCCGAAAATTAATAAGAATTTAATTAATTAAAATTTATATATAATTTTTCCCTCGTACAAAATTTTCAACTTTTACTTTAAGACATTCGTAAATTAAATTATAAATAACCTTTTTTTTTTTTTTAAAAAAAAAACGTTATTTAAAAATTTTTTCTGCTTAAATATAAGTAAAATAGACTAAATTAAAAAGAATATTTTAATAATATCGCTTTAAATTTAATCTTGAAATTACTTTTAAAAATAAATTTATGATCTAATTTTAAAGAAGTAAAATATTTTTAGGTTAATCGGGATAAGGGGGGAAAAAGAATTATATATATATATGTTTAGGGGGGGAAATGACTGAATAAAGAAAATTCTTATTTATAAAATGTCTACAAACTTTTAACGGATGAATAATTGCTGATCAAGAGGAACAGTTTTTTTTTTTTTTTTTAATTATTTTCCTCTCCTTGTCCACAGAATTTAACAATATTTTTTTCTAATTTCTCTCGTGAATATAACTCAGCTCTACAGCTTAACTGTATTAGTTTTTCAGAAAAAAAAAATAAATGAAAGAACAAATTAGTAGGCGAAAGAACAGAAAAAAGGGTGAAATTAGATTTAAAAAAAGAAAAAAAAACTGTATTTTTAGATTTAAAAATTGTCAAAATGCCTTTTTAAAGCAGTTAATTTCAACGATACCTAACTATAAAAGTCTCTACCGAAGCGTAAAAAAATGATTAAAATTATAATTTAAATTAATTTTTAAAAATATTTTAAATCATTTAATAAAGTCTTCCTATACTTTTTTTAAATATAAATACTATAAGGTTGTATATTTGTCTATTCGCACGAATAGACAAACATACAATCTCGCTTCTTTCTGTATTTAAAACAATGCTAATGATAGATCTAAAGGTAATTAAGATTATAAAAATAATTTAATAAATATAATACATATAAAAATAGATATAAGAAAGGGATTAATCATCTAATTAACATCTCAACAAAGAGAAGATTATGAAGCTTGTGTTTGTGTATATACTTTTTTTTTTCCTCCCCTGTATTAAAATTTAATTACGTGTCTCTAATATCAATAATAACTAAGATATAATCTTAATTATTTAATTTTATTTTGTAAGAGATTAAAAATAATATCGATTGACTTCAAAATATATTATATAAGAGTGAATGGGAGAAGTGATTACGTTTCTGTAACAGGAAACTGGTAGAAGCGAAATGTATAGAAGGAACTTGATTGTACTCAATAGTAGAATAACTTCTATCAATAAATAGAATAATCTATTATATTTGGAGAGCTTAATCAACTAACCAAATATATCTAATTGTTTAATATTCTAAGACTATTAAACTTTAAATTTAATTAAGAAAAAGCTATAGAAGTCAATGAGTTATCTTTCAATTTAAAAATTAATTTCGTGTTTAATTTTAATGTTATAAACGTTGTAATGCCTTCGTACTAATTTATATTAACTTTATAATAATATATCAGATTATTAATTCAAATATCTATATCTAAATATATTTATCGTTACGAAGCACATTGATTTTAATTTATGATTTGCATACGTTTCTCCTTATCGACCGGAAATTGTTACACGGTAATTATGCATTTAAAACAATTATAACAAGTTAAAATATGATTTGGGATATTGCTTTTTTAGTGTTATTTAGTTATTTTTATGTAGATTTAGTTATAAATTTATAAATATTTACTGTGTAGAATAGAATAAATTTATATTTTGCCTAAGTTTCAAGTCGAGATGGAGAAAGTGTGTTCTGTTCTTATATCTGGTCCAGTATACGCAAAGGTACACATGAAATGAAAATTTCAACCTTCTTGATCTAGAATTAAGGCTTTAAAAAGGCAAAATACATACATTTCATCCCTATGTAACATTTGGAGCATCAAACCCAACATTAAACAGTTCACTAGCCTGGTCAACAAAAACCAGTTAAGGCTCACTGGGACAAATTAAAGACAATATAGCACACTTCCTTAACGTAGAATTAAGGCTTTTAAAAGGCAAAACACACAAAAGTCTACGCGAAACTAGCATCCCATCCCCTATATATCGTTTGGAACAGAACCCAATATAGAATAACTACTAGAATAGCAATAATAAATGATAATTACATAGATAATCACTAACTCTAATTAAATTAGATATGTATCTACTCCCGTAACAGAAGAAATCACTATAATTTATAAGCTAATGACTTATCACGATACTTAAAAATTATAATGATAAAAGATATAATTACAACGTCTCTTATCTATTACGATATAGCATTGTTATGAAAGTAAATATCATCCACTAATACGTTATACATTATAATTATATCATATATGATAATGAATAGTAATAATAGTCACTAATATTACTAAATAATTAATGATACTGACTACTGGAGTAAACAGTAAACAGAATTACTATCATTAATGTAGCAATTAACGATCACTATCATTACGTGGTAACGTTTATCAGAAATACTGTTACTGATTGTGATAATGATTACAGATACTATTTAATTAGGCTCCAATTTGAAAAAATATTGTAGATCTATAAATTCTCACTGTCGCACATCTGTCTGTCTGTTCTTTCTTAATCTCGAGATCAGATATGGAAAAAGCTTAAGTGCAGGAGGCACTGATTAAATGTACACAAAAATTCTAGTCAAGACCGGAAGTCACGTGATTTCAATTCAAAAATTTTCTCCGGAACTGAGTTAGTTAGATGACTGGCACGACTCTGCTGTCGTCAGGAAAAGTATGATTTACAGGGGCAAGCCACTATCAATTTGAGATCGAGAGCATATATTTTAAATTATATATATTAAAAATTTTGCAGCTTGAGCATACAAATTACATACAAAATAATAAGATCTTATTATTTTGTAACAGTTGGAAAAGTTTAGAAAGATATAAAGCGCTAAATTCCGTTTAGTTGGTAGCGTTATTGATCACTAAGTCTGTTAGTGATTTGCGATAAGGATCACTAATACAGATACTGATTGACGATAGTCATCAGTAATTCAATTTAGTGATTAGTGATGATTATCTTTAATACGATTTAGTCAACGAGAATTATAATCATTAATACTATTTCTTGATCACGACTAATTCGATTTATGCTTAAAAATATGCTTTAGTTTATCGGGATAAACGTTAATTTTCATCATTAAACTTGCTTACAATGGTCTATCAGCCATCACTTAACTGTAAATCAGTAAACAGTAATCGTTACTGATGTTTGGTGATTTAATGACAGTGGCAAATACTATAAATTGGCATCACTAGTAATTAGTGATGGCAATTTATTTATTATTTTAGCTAATTTTTTTTTATAAAAAAAATAAATATAAATATATTTTATCTTTATGTAAAGGAAAA